AATAATGAATTTCCAAACCAAATTGGCGCAATGTTGGATGAATTCGTAAGCTCATATAGAAAACTAAGAACTGATTTCGATCCAGCTTTAATACGACCTATAATTTTTCCCCAAGGAGAGATGATTCTCGAAACTAGACGCATTTTAATGACAACTTTTGACCTATTAGAAGGATTGTAAGTTAATACAAAATCACAAGAATTTTCATATCATTGATAACCTACTGAATTTTAGGCGTCATATTTGGAGCTGTAGATCATTGTTAACAGAAGATGATTATAGTGAGAATGCTTATGTAATTCATGCGGTATCAAAAGTACTGGTTCCGTTTTTTACATATTCTAAATGACCTCTAAAACGTGCTTGGTCTGAGCAGATAAGCAAATATTCACAGAGTAGAAAAAATCGGATGGGTTCTACTAATTTAGGAAAAAAACCAGGATCTACAGATTTTATTGAAATTAGATATGAAGGAAAACGAGTTAGTTCTAGTGGAGATTTCACGTTCATTTCCAGAACAGGATAAAGAAGGTTTGGATTCGAAAAAGCTGGTTCGTATTTGTAAAGATTGTTTCGATGAACGATATAACATTTTTTTCAAAAAGAGAGAAGATACTTCTTCCAAATCAAAATTAATACATTGTGAATTAGGAAAAATTCCCGTGCTAGGATCCAAGTGATAGGAGAGCGCATATTTGTTTCTGTGTTAGATTTATTTGAAGGAGCTTTTTACCGGGTACAGACAACAACAGAGGCCTATGTTGTTTTTCCGCTATTCTTCTTTTTGCAATATGTCACCATTTTTTTAGGAAATATATTTTAATTAATTTTTACTACATACCTTAGATATAGCGTCAAATTGAAATAAAAAAATATCCTTTAGCTTACGTTTATTTCTTGAACTATTTCTATTACATAACTTTATACCTTCTTCAAATTCCCGACAATATCGAGCTTCTGCTATATTAAAGTTAGCCTTCCTTAAAACTTCGATACTAGGTAAATATACACTTGGAAGCCATTCTTTAAAGTACAAATCCTGGTTTGGTTGATGACGGTTACGGTAAAAGTAATTTTCGATATTATCAGACATTTTTTAGGTAAAAAATTGAACAAGTAAAAAAAATGATATTTAGAAATTGCAGAAAAGTGTTGTTAAATCACGAGAAACGAAAATAATAAACCACCAAAAGCGACAAGTAACAATAACCTCGCTATACTGCCTTTAAACGGTTATGCATTTTCTCTTTCTGGCATACCGAAAAACAGATTTGGAAAATAGCGATACAATGAATATATATGGATGTGCCACACCGGGGTAATTATCCAAATTTGAAACAAAGTTTCATTGCTCTGCAGTAGCGGGCGGTCACACAATCAATTTTGCATGTAGAATTTCTTCTAGTGCTCATTCTACAGATTTTATTGAAATTAGATATGAAGGAAAACGAGTTAGTTCTAGTGGAGATTTCACGTTCATTTCCAGAACAGGATAAAGAAGGTTTGGATTCGAAAAAGCTGGTTCGTATTTGTAAAGATTGTTTCGATGAACGATATAACATTTTTTTCAAAAAGAGAGAAGATACTTCTTCCAAATCAAAATTAATACATTGTGAATTAGGAAAAATTCCCGTGCTAGGATCCAAGTGATAGGAGAGCGCATATTTGTTTCTGTGTTAGATTTATTTGAAGGAGCTTTTTACCGGGTTTATCGAATAAGTGAGATTACTATACCTTTACGAATTTCCTCGCGCCAAGTTATTGAAGATTTTTTAAGAAGTACTAGATCTGAGAGCACTAATTGAAAAAATTGTTGGAATGTCGGTAAGTAAAAAGATGAGATAAATCTTCTACCAGTTTATGAGGAACGAACCCCAATCATATCCAATGATATCAACAACGTATTCTCCATCAAGAAATTATAAGATATTTAAATTCATCCTTTACTGCATAAATAAATCTGACCCTGGTAGTCATTATATTATATATATATATATATATACATATATAATCGTGTTTACTTTTGCATATGTATTTTTGAGAATTTTTGACGGATGGGCCGTCGTCGAAAATTTTTTTCCTGATGAAAATTATTATTAATACATAAACTAGATAAAATAACTATATTCTGGTTGAGTATGGTAGGTACACAATCTACAATTGATACATTGAAAGAATTAAATTCTAGGTATCCGAAATCGATAAACTTAGATATAAGTTTGCTGAGGTTGAGGCTGAGAATATCAAACTTAAAGCTGAGAATGTGAAAGTTAAGGCCGAAAATATTGAGATTAAAGCTGGTGATATGAAGTTGAAGCAAGCTTTAGAAGAACATGAAACCCGAATCACGAACCTAGAACAGAAAGATAAAGAAAAAATTTTTACTAGTGTTTCGCAGTATCCAGTAAATTCTAATAATATTCCCGAACAGATAATCTTACGAAGTGAGGATGTCCCAGCATCTAGTAAATCAAATAACGTTTCAAATTCTGGTGATCTCAATAATGCTCCAAATTCTAATGTATCTGATAACACTTTTCAGAAACTAAATCTTTTGAAGATAAAGTGATCGAATTTCTGGAAAGAAAATGTTAGAAACGAAATAAAAGAAAGAAATCGAGAAAAAAAGCTTAAAATCAAAATAAAAATCAGGACAAGTCATACAAGAAAAAGGGGACAGAGAATATCGCTAAAGTGATAGTAAATGGCATTCAGAATAACATTCTTTCAGATGAATTAGAGATTCAAAGTTTTTCTTTCTCAAATAATGTAACCAAAATTTTAGCAACGGATACATCATCAAATTCTTCTACAACCCCATTACTCGAATTAACACAATTATTTGTTAAAACAACTGATGCCGAATATTATGCTATAAAAGCTAATCAAGGTGAAACTTTATGCTGGATTAATTACGGAAAAGAATTTATAATTCAGTATAATGATCTTGTGAAAAATAGTAATGGAAAAATTGACGAGAAAAAAGCTAAAGGTATAATTTATAATAAATTATTAGAGCAGCTCATTATTATCCGTGAGAAAAGGCTCAAGAAAATGGGAATACAACTCCCAGAAATTTCACGTAAAACTTTATGTGAAAAGATTCAAAAAGCCATAGATAAAATTAAATACCTTAAAGCATATAGTGCAAATTCTATTTCCGAATTGACTACCGAGCAAATTCACCTATTTGGGGCATGGACAATAGAAAAGGGGACAACGTCAAAAATCATAATTTTGAGTTGATACCCACATATATACGTAACTTGTCACAAGGAATAATTTTAACTTAGAAACTATGCTCACTTGATGAAATTTTGAGAAATTTTCTTGTTAGAGTTTTTTTAAAACGGGTAAACCTATATACAGAACCTATTGGGACGTTACAAATTATAATAAACTCAAACATAGTTGAGCGCACATATGAAAAATTATATATGCGGATTTTTCACCGATCAATATACGTAATATAAAAATACAAACTCTCATATCTCCTTTATGCTTGCCAAATAAACCTCCAATTAAAATTTGCATATAAGTATTTCATAACATATACTCCAAAACAACGTTGCTATTTTTTTAATTTTTTTTTGTTTTATTAATCTTTATTCAAAATAAAACTTTAAACAAGAATAAAAAAATTTATAAAAATCTATCAAGGTTAAGTTGAAGAGTAAGTTACAAGCCTTCATTTGATATATGGGCAGTGTTGGAAATTCGACGATCTTATGATCTGCAAAAAAATATTTGCGCACATAATTGTGATCAACAAAAAAATTTATTTAAATTATATAAATAAAAATTATAAATAAAAATTACAAAAAAAAATTTTATGAATTAATCTTCCTATTTTTTTTATTTTCCCAATATTCACATGCTTTCTCAAAATTAAAGTCTTCAATTTCAGGTCCATTTAGTAAAATCATCAAATGATTATTTAATGTATCAAGATTCATTTTGTTCCTTAATTTATTCTTAATCAACTTTGTTTGGGAAAATATCCTTTCTACATTTGCATTTGAAAGAGGTATAATAAGAGATATTTTAACTAAAAGGGATATGTTTGGGTAATTAAATGAAAAGTCTTCATCTGTGTCAAAAATGAATTTCCATAAATTAATAAAATCTAGTTCATTAGATTTTTTAAGTTGGAGGATAGATTTTACTAAACACCATTCTTCAAAAAGTTTGTCCTTATCAATAATTTCTTGAAATTCATCACCATCTACAAATTTAGTTTCTCCATAAAATTCACTAAGAAATTCTATCTCTTTATTTCCATACAAATTTAGTTGTTCATCATCATCTGGGATTTCTTTTGGATCAAAGATGCTAAATGAGCTATATAATTCCATTTGTGGAAATCTTCTTTGAATAGCATCAATTATTGCAATGGAATACTCTTTAATAAATGGTGGAGAATTAAAATTATGCTTATTTAAATATTCTTTGAAAATGAAACCATTGTTAGGTGGAAATTGCTCATTACCAATGAATTCATACTCTATTTCATTTATTGTATTGTTGAGGCTTTTTTTAAATTGAGATAATGATAAAAAATCTAGTTGGAAAGTATTGATCAATTTCTTTAGAATATTTGTTAAGTCAGCAAAGTACATAGTTGCAAAAATAAAATCTTGATCCAACTGATTATACAATAATTCAGCTTGTTTATCACCTTCATTAACATAATCATTAAGAGTTGCAAGTACTGAATTCAAAATTTTATACAAATTACTAACAGAATTAGAAAAAGACAACCATCATGTTTCGCATAAATTTAAAATCTTTAGTGTTGGTTCATCATTAATGTCTTGCATCATTCTTATCATGTTTTGTCTCTTATGTGATTTAGAAAAAAATGCATACAAATTTTTTAAGGTTTCCTCATATTTTTCAAAACATAAAACTTCATTAGAAGCATCTTTTCTAGCCAAATGTAGTCTATATGACACACAATGATTAGATGACATGAATGGATTTATTTTTTTAAGTCTTGCAGCAACACCACTTTTATAACCAGTCATATTAGATGCACCATCACTTCCAAAATGAATTATTTTTTGAGAGGTTATTTCTTTGTCATCACAAAATGATATTATTTGATTAAAAATATTTTCTCTATCAGTTGATTCCAAATCAATCATTCCCAAATATCTCATGTATGGTATGTTATCCACCATGTATTTTCCTACAATTGCTAAATACTTATTATTAATAGTATTTGTCTCATCAATCATAATACTCCAATATGGAGATGAATTCAATTCTTCAAAAAGTTCTTTTTGTATTACAGAAACTATACATTCTAAAAATTCAGAACCAGATTTATTATTAGCATAACTCCCATATGTTGATTTAGATAATGGTGGCTTTGCTATGGACGCAGGTTTTAAATTGAATTTTTTATCATTAGTAACTTTGTTTTTTGTCTGCAAGAACATTAAATTGCACATATCAGGATATACATTCAATGAAATAATTTTTTTTGAACAAAAATAAATAATTTGCATCAATGAAACTATTGTTAATTTTTTGGTGCTCAATTGATTTATAAACCCTATCTCAAATAATTCAAACTTTTTATGTGCATTAGAATTTGAATGTTTTTTAATTCCTGATAGTCTTAAATTAGATGAACCTTTTGCAAAATTGGTATTCCCATTTTGATCTCTACAGATTTTGCAATATAAGATTGTTTTTTCATTGGAAACTTCAACTTCTAACCATGGATATAATTTAAACCATTCAGGATCAATGGTTTCTCTATTATGTGATTTTTGTTCATCTCCAGAACTTATAGTATTATCACTACCAATTGATTCATCATCAGATATCTCAAAAATTTCCATTTGGTGAACTGGAGTATTATAAACTTTGGCAGAAAAATCAATTGATGAAGTTGATTGTTCTAATGTTTTATTTTTTTTAGGATTTGAATCTTCATCAATGAATAAAATTCTTTTAGTAATTTGTTTATTAGACATTTTTATAAAAAATTTTTATATAGTAAGTGTAAGAATTATTTTTCAAAAGTCAAAATTAAATATTCTACTAACAAATATTTTAATTGTTGTAAAATATGAGTCATCTTTATTACCTTGAAAGATGTCTTTTTTTATAATAAAATTAAATGGATTGATAATATAAATAAAATATAAATAAACATAAATAAAATAAATTGAAAGAGACGTGAACTAAATAAATTAATGTTACAAATAACGTTTACAAAATATATTTTTATTTGGTACTACGTATTATAATTTGCACATAAAATGTTCCACAATTTTTGTGTAACTTTCTGCGTCCGCACTCTCCGCACCCTGAATTCCAACACTGGATTTAAGGATAAAATAAGTACAAAATAAGCATATCCCTAAAAAGAGCAAAACACACTTAAATTCTACTTGATTCCCACTGATGTTACACTTAAACAATACTTAATTTCTACGCAAATTTAAGTATGTTTTGAGAGCATAATAAGGATATTTTAAGTGTGCGAACTTTGGGCGACAAAAGGGAAATTCGTTATAGAGAAATTTACTTAGTGTTCGTTATAGAGAGGTTTGGTGTAGTGCAATAAATTAATAAACTAAATACAGAAATAAATAAATGAATAATACATACGGAAATGAAAATTATTTGTTGAAATATTGGTTGTATTAACTAATAATTTCACTTTTTTCAATGGTTTAAATGCTTTAAATTCCTTACAATCTATTTCTAAATCATCTTGTTGAAGAAAATTAAAAGCTATCTCAAAGGAAATTACGGCATCTTTCGTTGAAACTTTAGGCATAGTGTTACTCTCAACAACTATTATATTATTAACATCATTTTGAAAACTCTTCGACTATATTTCTTGAATTTTCAATTTCATTATTAGATATTTCATTTTCTAAAGGGAGAATTGCAGTTTTCCTCTATCAATTCTGGTAATTTGGACATTTATATGTCACGTAGACATATAGACCCCATCAAAAATCTGTGGGACAAATTTATTATTAGTAGTAGAATCCGTTATTATTATGACAAAAGTTTTAATTAATAATAATAATAATAAGGGGACAATGCTTAAATCCGTTGTAACAAGAAATGCGTTGTGGCGAGGTCCGCTGTGACGAGGTTTGACTGTAATATATAAAAAAAATTAATAAATGGTGGTTAACGGTGCCAACCCTACTTTTTCTTGCGAATATTGTTTATCACTAGTAAGTTTGTTTGATTTATTTTGAATTGGCTTTTTCTTGGTTCTAGTTTATTGGTTATTTGATCAATTTTTTGTTTATAATATAGAATTGATTTTTGCAAGTTTTATAGTGAAGCAAAAAAACCAAGAGAAAGTCCAATTAACAATCCGCAAAAAAATCACTATTGAAAGTATGCATTTTTTTTAAATGTTATTATGGATGAAAATATTGCGTAAATATTTATCGATTATTTGATGTTTTTAAACTAAAATAAAATTGTGTTTAATGATTATTAGGAGTTGTTATTGAATTTTTTACCTGAAAATAAATGAATCAGTGATGCTTTTATAATGTTTCAACATAAGTGTAGTAATTAAAAACATTACGAATACAATTTCTTTTTCATTTTTTATTATCGTTATTATTATTTTTTTCGGAAATGTAGTAGACGTTACACGATATATTTTACTATATAATGAGGAGTTGCGCATATATTGATTAGTGGACACTGAAGAGGATTGATTTTATCTCATAAGATAGTTATGTTTCCTTCTAAGTTCTTTATGAGTCCCAGGAAACATATGCTTCTATATTAGTACATGTAATATGTATTTTTATTATTGTTTATTTATTATAATAATAAGATTATTTTCCTTTAAGGATTTCTGCTTTTTATTAGGTAATAATGCATCATGATGCTTTCTTTTTCCAACATTTATTATTTTTCTTTCTTCTTGATAAACTTCATAGGTAATCCTTTCTTTGTCTAAATATGTTGCAAAGATTTGATATCTGCTAGTTTAAAAATGTAAGAAGCAATTTTTTCACCTTGTTCTTTTTTTAAAATACTTCTGATTGTACTATAATTCTTGGGTTCCATTATAGATCTAATGTAAATGAGTTTCATATTAATTATTTTTATATAGGAGTAGTTCTATCTATATATTAGGAAAAAAAAGAAGATAATAAATGGGACATTATTAATATAAAATCATATTAATATTAATATTTAATTACAGACAATGAATTATTGTAAAATTAAATCACCAATGATTGTTTTATGTTTTGGTATAACTAAATTTCCAGATAATGGAAATTATGTAGTAATAATAGTAAAGGACAAAATGCTGAAAGGATTAATAAGGTTGGTGAAATTGGTGGTGAATTATCAATAGATGATTAATTTAATCTCTACTATTGTTATGTTCATCATAATTATAATAATATTTTTTGAATAATAAAATTGATTTTGCAATTTTTAATTTTTGTACTATATAAAACAGAAAAATATTTTATGAATAGTTCTGATCAGAAGTTTTTATTATTATTGTTTAAGGCTACATTTGATTTTTTTTCTTTAACAGTTGTTTCGTTTATATTATATAATAGATGGTGTTGGCATGGAAACATCATTTGTGTATAACACCACTCTGACAAGAATCCAAAAACTATGTTGTCTAAAATATACTACAATAAACTTTCTTCAGGCTGTAGGGAAAGCATCAAATATAAACTGGTTCTTTAAACTTAAACCATACCTGCAAGCTCTAATCACCTATAGATAATGTACTGGAGATCACAAAGTCCCCACTATCCTAAACACTCCACTGATAATCATCTCTTTCTTCTGGAAACTACATACCTACCCTAAAAATTTTCAAAATTTATTAATGAGTTACCCAACAGTTTTATGTTAAATTTATCCAAAGTTGGTAATAACAACTTACCCAAAATAGGCATAAAATTATTTGAATTTTGACAAATACTAGATGCAAAATCACCATAATTATAATAATTGAAATTTCAATTCATAATATATCGGATATTATTGATCTTTGCATATAAATTTCCACCTAACCCACATTTTGTAAAAATAATCCATCTGTAATTTTAATGATGCAATTACAGAAATATTAAATAGAATGAATGGGATTAGATACATAGACATATCCGCTACTTCCAAACATAGAAATAATTTTTTCAATTGCTAGTTGTTCATCAATAAGGAATAACAAATATCAATTTCTACCGTGGATACAATGGAATGACATTAGTAGCTCTAATATCATCCATAAACTAAAACAATCAAATAAATAATCATTACATTGAAATATTAAAAACCCCCAAAATTAAAAAATTTGGTGAAATGGGAAGAACATCTGCCTATCCTTCTTCTTCCGATCCAATGAGATATTTTTGATCCATTCATTTCAATATTTCTTTCGATTATTTAACAAATATGGCCGATGGTGTGGTGGCTTAACTTTTAAGCTATTCTTGTTAGTTAATCGCAGGAAATTCACAATAATTCAGTGTTAATTAATTAGTACGAATTTACTTCGGTTCTTGCCTACCGCCTTGGCAAATTGTCAATGATGCAAAACTCGTTGCTCAATAGAATTCTATATATATATAAAAAATGATGGGTTCTTTTTGAAGAATTTAAAAAGATTTCTGTTCGAAATTTTACCAGCATTACAAGTATCTTTCTTTTTGTTCCACGAGTGTTTTTCTAATCTCAATCTTTTCTTGATATCTTCATGTTTTAGTTGTGATGCATATGAGATGGAATATAATTATCGCTCGTAAGCATTTTTGTCATTGTTGTGCTGTAATGATCATAGTAATTTATTATTTATGCGGAAACATTATAAAATCTTCAGCTTATCACAAATCAACACCGGCAACGCTAATAGGTTTTTCTTTATCACCCCATAATCGATATTAAACAGGTAATAAAAGAAAATAATGGATTAAAAAATAGTAATAGATGTCAATTTTAAGAGTCAAGATAAGATTTTCCCAAGTATAGTAATTACTATTCTTGAAATATCATTTGATTCAATTTGGTAAAGTTATAGTTAGTAATGGACTATTTTTATATAATTTATGTGTTACAATTTATATTAGTATCTTTTCCGGAAAAAAACAGGATAATAATAAGCATATTCATTACTATTATTATAATTGCCATACTAATACGGGAAAAACCCCGTTACTAAATTTACCCTGGTTCTCTCTAAATTTGATTTTACTAAACAAGTTAATTCGCGTTTCGCCGGTAATTGATCCGGAAAAAATTTTTTAAATTCAATTTTTCACCCATATTAATACGGAAGTCGCGCTTTTGATAAAGGACATTTGCTTGAGACACGAGCGATTAAATTTGCTATTTAATGGACGGTCCTGTGTTGTGGGCAAAAAAACTCATACTCTTAAATACTACTAACTTTAATTTTAATTCTCTTTCTATTTAATTTTCGCCGTATAATAATAATAATAAAATTTGTCGTAGAATTTATTTATATCCGGAAGAAAAACTTGTGGAGTCCGTTAATCATTCGATGTTTAAAATTTGGAAACATCGATGAACAATAGGAACAATAGGAGAAATTTGTTCATAAATAACCAATTTTTTTTTTATAATGAATGGATGGATGGATGGACGATGAATGAACGACAGGTTAATAAGCCGGATCAAGCATCTATTACTATTACTATACTCATTATACTCATTATCGACAGGTGATGTATTAGATTATATATTTAATCATTAAGGAAAAATTATCAGTGGATTTGCAAAGTAGTTAATAATACGCATAATCTATGATTTTGAGAGTTGTATGAACATATAATAAAGCTTATCTTTATCAATGAAAATTTGACCAATCGTATTTGTTTTGATTTTATCCAAATTCGAACTACAGTGTAGAAGCTCTATAATAGGAACGAGCTTTAAAAGGGTGTAGATCACCCTAAAAAATATACTTGGGTGGACAACTTTGTGGTTTTTCATGATATAAATTTTATATATTAATATATAAAGAAACCGGTCAAAACAAAGCATTATTATTTATTATTAATAATATCATTTCGAACCACAGCATTATTTGTCACTTTGTCTGCCCGTATGATAAATTTTTTTTTTTTTTTGTATGAATTCATTCATTCATTCTGTTGATAATTTCTCGATAGAATGAGAAGTTACTATGTGCGGGGGGTTTTTTGAAAACTTTATCAAAATCATAAATCGCTATCCTTAAATAATAAGTCTCATAACTCTAAGTCTTTATGATTGTTTTTTTTTCTCTGTCTGACAGCTTATTCTTTAGTGGTGGAGAATAAGACTGTAGAAAGATATTTGCTCTAGTTGGCTTGGTTATACATTTTTAAAGTTCAACCATATTTTCTAATTTTTAGTTTGATTTTATATCAAATCTGTCTCCTTATTTGACATAACTAACTCCTTTAATTTCACGGTTGTATCTTGTTCTTTTTTTTTTGAGGATGATGGCAAAAGTGTTCGTTATTCGTTATTATATTAATATTAATATTACCTACATAATTGTGTTACACCAAATATATTTTTAATTTTTTACTGGTAACAACAAAAATGCAATTAATATAATTAATATAAATAAATGAATAATTTACAAAGATTGAGAGGGGAAGAAGGAGTTCGTTTGTATATGAAAGAGTGATCAAGGGCCCCGAAAATTCAGTAAAAGTAACGGTTTGATATAACACTGTGATAATAAAGATTGATAATGCAGTTTTCGGGGTCCTATATATGGTCGTTCATTGCGTTTACGAAAATAAACAAATTAAAAAACTGGTTAGACAAATGTATTTTTATTTTTAGAAAAAAACAAATTTAGAGATGTGCATCTAATACATAGACGTAAAATACCAAGATTTTTGTGTATATATATATTAAATTGATCTTTTGTTTTTTTTTTAATTTATTTTTTCTCATTAATTAAAATTTCAACATTTGAACACGCATACATTTATTATAATGTCGCTGTATAATTATAATAAAACTTCATCATTGATTTTAATTTTTTTCACATTAATATATTCAATATTTATTATTACAACTGTTGATGCCGCCTACGCCTGTGATCCTGCTATATGTAAAGCACCCACGTGCATATGTGCGACAACGAACCCACCAGGAGGAATTCCTGTGGAGAAGGCACCACAATTTGTTCTTTTAACTTTCGGTAAATATTTTTTAAAGTGAATTTCAATAAATATATATATATATACACATACACTAATGAATTGATATATATCCTCTCTTCCAATAGATGACTCTATTCAAGAACGTACACTAAAAGGTAACATTTAACTATCCATACAACATACACACACTTGTATATATTTTTCGCAGAATTTTTAATTTAAGAAAATTTTTTTTTCGCAGTTGTCAATGACCTTCTTGGAAATCGTAGAAATCCTAATGGGTAATTTTATAATGATTCAATCATTTTTTGTTAAAGCGATCAATCAACTATTTTTCTAATTTCTATGTTTTATATATACGTATAATAATAGATGTCCAATCGGAACAACATATTACGTCAGTTTAAACTATACTGATTATTCATTAGTGACTCAATGGTATGCTAAAGGACATGAGGTAAAAATCAAATCTTCCACCACATAATCTTTAAATTTATTACGAAAAAATTAAACAATATTTTCTTATAGGTCGCTGATCATACAATGACTCATGCAGCCGGGTTACCTAGACCTCTAGGTGATTATATTAATAATATTTTATAAATTTATTTGAATCATTAGATAATTTATATTGATTAATATTTCCTTTAATTACATATGTATATATATATATATATATATCAAAGATGAAATTGTTGGAAACAAAAAGGCATTAAATGCATTTGCCGGCATTCCACTTGGAAAGATTTCAGGATTCCGTGTACCCTTTCTTGAAATTAACCCAAATCTTTATCAAATTCTCGCTGATCAAAAGTTCGTTTATGACACTTCAGCTACCTCAATAGGTACAGATGATTCATGGCCTTATACTTTAGATAATGGTTTGTACAGTGGTTGTTACAAAGGTTTCTGTGATCAAGTGAAACATCCTGGTCTATTTGAAGTTCCTATGGCTGCAATCCTTGGTGGGTATCAATTAATCATATTATTATTTTTTGTCAGGTTGTTAATTTGTGAAAATTTTGCTAATAACAATTGATTATTGTGAATAAATTATTATAGATGATAAAAATACCCCACATTTAATGGATCCTTTACTTGACTATGCTGGAGATAAATTGAAATTGTTACAAGATAATTTTGTCAGACATACAAAAAATGGAAAAGTACCTTTTGGTAAGCAGTAGTAATATAACAACAACAACAATAATAAATAATAATAAGTAAAAATAAGTAATAACAATTATAAACTTTATTTTGTGTGAAAACAAATCAATAGGCCTTTATCTTCACCCTGTTCAATATTCAATAGAAAGTATAGCACCAGGCATACCAGATCCAACCCCAACATTAAACATAATGAAGGACTTTTTAGATTGGGCAATCAAACAACCAGACGTTTGGTTCGTCACCAATCAACAATTGATAGAGTATATGAAAAACCCTGTACCAGCCGATCAACTCAAAACTTATGAAGCATTCCAGTGTAAACAAGCGACTGTCGGCAAAGAGATTTGTAATGGAATGGATGATAATGGCGATAAACAGATAGATGAAGGTTTAACATTGAATTGTAATTTTAACACTGAAGTGTTTAATACTTGTTATGGATGTCCAAAAACGTTACCATCATTGGATACCCCTGTGCCTGATTCAACAACCAATCTACGTTTCAGAGTTCCAACTACTTGTGATACTGTTTGGTGGGACCCAATTGCAAATATGTGTTTATGCAACTCAGCTTCTTGTGCTTATAAAGATATAAGTCAAATTCCCGACATCACCACTACAAATACCACATCATCATCATCAACAACAACTAGTAGTGCCGCCAGTAGCACCCCTACAGTCAGTTTTACTAGTAATGCTAATTATTTAACAACAAATCTTCAATTCAAATTAACAGGTTTTATTGCTATATTTATATTCACAAAAATTTTACAAAAATTTTTATAGTTTTTTATCTATTTTTTAATCATAGTCATTAATAATTGTATGATAATATTGAACATATTGAATAAATAGAAATTATATAGATTATTTTTTTTTTAAATTCTATGCGCAACTTTATTTTTTTTCTAATAAACGCAAAATTCAACTTCCTTCGATCATATAAAAACCCCAAGTTACATGGGTTTCTTCACTCGAGAAAATAAAAACTGCCTTTTTAATTCTATTTTGGATATTCTGCTCTTTTTACAAAATTACAATATTTATTAGTTATATGTTATTATTATACAAAATTCTTAATAATGTTTACTTCTTAATTTGAACTTTTATTTATAATAAGCATCGGCTTTAACACGATGCGACATTTCGTGTTTTACGCGATATGAAAAACCAATCAATAAACACAACTATTACAGGCCGAGATTAATTTGTGTGTGCATATGCGAATAATAGATACAGCTTGAACATGACGTGACTTTGTAATATTTTCACGTGAATTATTTATGGAACGATTGAAGAGGCCATGTCATGAAGGGTCAACACCCAACATGAGCCACCAGAAACAGCCCATTTTCTTTAGTTAATGGGCTTCCTAATGCCACAATTAAGTGGGTCACACGGGTTTGCCATTGCATGACTTGCCCTGAGACAAATACTAGTAATGGAAAATTATGCTTAAATTATTGAGTTATAGTTCATTAGGACCCTGGACAATTATAATCGAGGTTATAGGTAATGGTGTTAGCTGGCTAAGAAATTTATCAGCTTAACTGGCTAAGGGATTTTAAATGGTTTAGCCAGCTAAAAAAAAAGTTCTCTCAACATTCATTTTTGCATCTGGAATTTTAGTATAGGATTCAATGCCACAGGTACTTTGGTTGATATTACATAAAAATTCGCACATTTTGTTGTTAATTTTAACAATAATTGTTGATTGAAATAAAAATTATACTAAAGATGTTTTGTTTATTTTTGTATCAATAAAAATTGAATTATACCTGAAAACGTCAATAAAAGTATGTTTGTTAATAATAATAAATTAAATATTAATTAATATATGTATATATTTTTTTTCAATGAATTTTCTTACAAATTCTGCTAATAGATTATTTATTGGCTACCTTTAATGTAACACACGCGCCCGCACTCAATTTCACACACTGCTCAAATAAAACAGATAATTTGAATAAACCTTATTTGAACCGTTAAAGGCGAGATGATAACAATAGTATTGAATACCGCCATCAAATTAAGCGTTAACGCGAATCTCGAAAGTTGATTGGTCGATTTTTTCTGTTTAGGAGATAATTAACTAAAAATGGGCTAGTTAGTATGTAACTTCTATGACGGGATATCTTCCTTATTTGGATTTAAATTTTAATTCTCTATTGACCCGAATTATAATGTCGCGGTCGCCTTTCCTTTTTTAAAAAATATTTTCAAATCGTAGTATTGGTTGGTGGGTGACATTCGATATAGTTTTTCCGGTCCTAATTTAGCATTATAATTACAATACGGATCGGATCATCTATACTCAAAAGTTAAAAATTTTGGGTATTATGTGTGATCCACATATCCACATATTAGATTTTTAAAAAACCACCACCATTCAATTCAGCTTTTAAAAAGGGGCCAATTCATCTAAAAAAAATTTGTCTCAAATTTCTTTTCTTAATATTAAAATTCGAGAGTTATGCTCAGAAATACAATAATAATTTTCGTGTTACGATGATTTGAATTACACGACCAAATTTGGTAAGATTTTTTTGGTGTTAAACTTTTTTAGGAAATAAATACTGAAAATTTTGTTAGAAATCAGGGCTGGCTGCGTAAAGAGGCTAAAGTCCTAATTTGGCAATAATGGTCTTGACTAAATTGGCTTTACATAATGCTGTGGCCAAATTCTCATTTAGGTTATGCGGCCAGCCCTGAACAAAATCTGGGAATTTTCAAAATGCTAATGCTTTGCAATTTTCACTAAGAAAAACTAGCCGATAAGTTAGCAATAAAAGTTATCGGTTAACTTTTTAAATGGGTATAAAATTTTTTTGTTTTAGTAATTAATTGATTATAGATCTGCACCGTAGTAATAGCCAGCCATTAGAGAATTTACTTAAAATGGAAAAGAACACAAAACTTTCTATATAAATATTGATCCATTTTTCTATTTACCCATAATTTCATATGACATAAAATTGGACTTGTAATAAAAATTTTCTGTTATACCTAAAATAGTCATACCACTTATTAAAAGTTAAAATCGGATGTTACCTCAATTATAATAATCCGGGGTCCTGACCAAACCCTGCTATTATATTAATATACAAATCCGTGCGTGATTAATATTATTAATATCAATTTGTTTAATAGCTTGGCATTCATTATTCCCATTCATCATCTTGTTTAGTCTTACAAATAAAATTTTGTGGCTTACGGTGGCTTCGTTTTATAAAAAAAATTCAAATCAATTATTTCACCAAAGAATCAGTTTAATCTTTTAATTCCGGTTTTTACATCATGTATGACGAAAACATGGTGAGAGACTCTTCTATCGCTTTGAAACCCATATTATCTTATTCAGATAATAATAGTACAAAACAGAATAGCTTAGATATTGAGGATGAAACCCCTCTTATTGAAAATGAAGTGAGTTAGCCAAAGTGCAAATTTATCATCAAGGCTTTTATAGCTACATTTAATAGTAAAGTCTATTGTGACTCTTAATTATCCTATACATGTATATAGATCCCTTAAATTTTTAACGGAATTAATGCAAAATAAGAAGAAATTATAAGAAAGATATGTACCTTTACTTATATTATTATATATGAATATACATTCCTAGGATTCCCCCTCGTTACTTTCTTCAAGAAATAGTAGACGACATGGTTCGTCAGGAAATAATTCTTACTCTCTCATTGGAGGCAGAAACACACAAAAATCACGAACAATCCCTTTTCATGCTTCTGGTATTTGTTCTTATATACTCTCTCTTGTTTCTTTTTAATTTTCTTTTGATAGATTCTAATCTTTTTCAAATCTTTTTATTCTAATATTTCTAAAAAGATAAAGTAAAAAATAAATATTCTCCGAATGTTATTCGTAATCAAAAATATAATCTTATTACGTTTTTTCCGCTAGTTTTTTATCAACAAGTATTTATCCTTCCAAAAATCAAAGATATATTTTTTTTTAAAAAAACCAATCATTTTCAAAAAATTAACACATATTTATTAAATTTATAATGAAATAGTTCCATGTTTTTATAAATCTTTATTTTCTTCTTGTGGCATTATCTCAATTTATTCCTTCTTTGAGAACAGGTAAAATCCTTTTTTTCAAACACGCAATCAATATATGAATGATGACTAATAATAATTGACATAAAACTATAATTACAGGATATCTTATCACATATTTTGGTCCTTTGTGTTTTGTAATTTTGGTCACTATGGGCAAAGAAGCATATGATGATTGGATAAGATATAGAAGAGATCGTGAAAACAATTCACAAAAATATGAAATATTAACGCAAAATGGTATTAAAATAGTACCAAGTTCCAAGATAAGAGTTGGTGACTTGGTCATTATTCATAAGGATCAAAGGGTAATCTCAAATACAATTATTATTTTTTATTGTATTGTTTAATGTTTGAAACTAGAGTTATTTAATTTTAGGTTCCTGCTGATTTAATATTATTAAGAACAACAGAGACTGGTGGCGCATGTTTTATTAGAACAGACCAATTAGATGGTGAAACTGATTGGAAATTAAGGTATTACAATATCCACGGTAGTGGATTTTTTTTATTTTCAAATAAATATCAATATAATAAATATTTATAATCTATTGTTATTTATATTATTATTATTATTATTATTGATTTAAGAGTTGCAGTACCTTTCTGTCAAAAATTACAATCAAATGATAACCTTTTAGAAGTCAATGCTGATATTTATGGTAAGGCTTAAACATAATTTTTAGAAATAGCACTTGATATTATTATTTTATTAAAAAAATTATTGTTGTTTGTATTTTAGCTGATATTCCTCAACAGGATATTCATAGTTTTGTTGGTAATTTTTCAAAGCAAGCCATGGATAATATGGTATGTTTATCATTCAAAAAAGGTTATCAAAATATTTTCAATTAAATTTTATTTTAATTAATCATAAAATATGATAAAGTTAGACACCACAAATTGAGGCTTTAAATGTTGAGAACACTTTATGGATGAATACGGTGTTGGCATCAGGTACTGCTATTGGATTTGTAATATACACGGGAAAGGATACTAGAGCTGTCATGAACACAAGTCACCCAGAAACTAAAATTGGGTTATTAGATAAAGAAATCAATCGATTATCCAAGGTTAATAATAATAATCAAAAAATTTGATTTTGTGTAGAAAATAGAATAGTTGGATCAAAAGTTATTCACAATTAATTCAAATTAAAATTTATAGATTCTTTTCCTTGTGACACTGTTGTTGTCTTTTACACTTATTGCATTAAACAATTTTCGAGGTCTTTGGTATATTTATTTATGTCGATTTTTGATTCTTTTTTCTTCAATCATTCCTATAGGGTGAGTTTTTTTATTTAATTATTCAAAAAAAAAAAATTTTTTTCTTTTGTGTTCTAATGCCATTTTTATTATTTTAAGTCTTCGTGTCAATTTAGACATGGGTAAAAGTGTTTACGCATATCAAATAATGCATGATAATGAAATTCCATATACAATAGTCAGAACTAGTACAATACCAGAAGAACTGGGCAGAATTAATTATCTGTTATCAGATAAAACTGGAACCTTGACCAAAAATGGTATTTAAAATGATTTTTTTTATAATGATCAAAATTTAACTACAATTAATATTGATTAATGTTATTCATAGATATGGAATTAAAAAAACTTCATATGGGAACTATGTCCTATAGTTCAGATACAATGGATGAAATATCTTCACAATTGGAAATTGCATTTGGACAACCAGGCATATATAAAGAAAATTTTTTTTGTGACAATAAATGGTTCCATTCAATTTTGCATAAAAATAATATCATATCTATTAAATAGATACAACTCGTGCTTCAACATCTCTTCAAACACCATCTTTAGTTGGAAAAGGTCGAAGAGATATGACATCAAGAATTAGAGATATTATCCTTGCACTTGCTTTATGCCATAACGTAATAAAAGAAAATACTTTTATTAATTTAATTTTCATTTGAAAATCGTATTAATATATGTATATATATTTTGATTTTGAAAAGGTCACGCCTGTAATTGATGTTGATAATTTAGTTACTTATCAGGCTTCGTCACCTGACGAAGTTGCAATTGTTAAATGGACTGAAAGCGTCGGTTTAACTTTGGTTTTTCGTGACATTAATGAAATGCATCTTCGTACACCTCATGGAAACATTCTCGAATTCAAAATTCTTCAAATATTTCCATTCACTAGTGAAAGCAAACGGATGGGAATTATTGTCCAAGATAAACAAACTGAAGAAATTACATTTTATGAAAAAGGTGCAGATGTAGTCATGGGCAGAATTGTTCAATATAACGATTGGTTGGATGAAGAATGTGGAAACTTTGCAAGAGAAGGTCTTAGAACCTTAGTTATTGCTCGTAAAAGGTTATCAGACGTTGCCTATAATGATTTTCAAGAAAGGTATTATTATTGTCATTAAAAAGTTGTTCATCAATAAGGAATAACAAATATCAATTTCTACCGTGGATACAATGGAATGACATTAGTAGCTCTAATATCATCCATAAACTAAAACAATCAAATAAATAATCATTACATTGAAATATTAAAAACCCCCAAAATTAAAAAATTTGGTGAAATGGGAAGAACATCTGCCTATCCTTCTTCTTCCGATCCAATGAGATATTTTTGATCCATTCATTTCAATATTTCTTTCGATTATTTAACAAATATGGCCGATGGTGTGGTGGCTTAACTTTTAAGCTATTCTTGTTAGTTAATCGCAGGAAATTCACAATAATTCAGTGTTAATTAATTAGTACGAATTTACTTCGGTTCTTGCCTACCGCCTTGGCAAATTGTCAATGATGCAAAACTCGTTGCTCAATAGAATTCTATATATATATAAAAAATGATGGGTTCTTTTTGAAGAATTTAAAAAGATTTCTGTTCGAAATTTTACCAGCATTACAAGTATCTTTCTTTTTGTTCCACGAGTGTTTTTCTAATCTCAATCTTTTCTTGATATCTTCATGTTTTAGTTGTGATGCATATGAGATGGAATATAATTATCGCTCGTAAGCATTTTTGTCATTGTTGTGCTGTAATGATCATAGTAATTTATTATTTATGCGGAAACATTATAAAATCTTCAGCTTATCACAAATCAACACCGGCAACGCTAATAGGTTTTTCTTTATCACCCCATAATCGATATTAAACAGGTAATAAAAGAAAATAATGGATTAAAAAATAGTAATAGATGTCAATTTTAAGAGTCAAGATAAGATTTTCCCAAGTATAGTAATTACTATTCTTGAAATATCATTTGATTCAATTTGGTAAAGTTATAGTTAGTAATGGACTATTTTTATATAATTTATGTGTTACAATTTATATTAGTATCTTTTCCGGAAAAAAACAGGATAATAATAAGCATATTCATTACTATTATTATAATTGCCATACTAATACGGGAAAAACCCCGTTACTAAATTTACCCTGGTTCTCTCTAAATTTGATTTTACTAAACAAGTTAATTCGCGTTTCGCCGGTAATTGATCCGGAAAAAATTTTTTAAATTCAATTTTTCACCCATATTAATACGGAAGTCGCGCTTTTGATAAAGGACATTTGCTTGAGACACGAGCGATTAAATTTGCTATTTAATGGACGGTCCTGTGTTGTGGGCAAAAAAACTCATACTCTTAAATACTACTAACTTTAATTTTAATTCTCTTTCTATTTAATTTTCGCCGTATAATAATAATAATAAAATTTGTCGTAGAATTTATTTATATCCGGAAGAAAAACTTGTGGAGTCCGTTAATCATTCGATGTTTAAAATTTGGAAACATCGATGAACAATAGGAACAATAGGAGAAATTTGTTCATAAATAACCAATTTTTTTTTTATAATGAATGGATGGATGGATGGACGATGAATGAACGACAGGTTAATAAGCCGGATCAAGCATCTATTACTATTACTATACTCATTATACTCATTATCGACAGGTGATGTATTAGATTATATATTTAATCATTAAGGAAAAATTATCAGTGGATTTGCAAAGTAGTTAATAATACGCATAATCTATGATTTTGAGAGTTGTATGAACATATAATAAAGCTTATCTTTATCAATGAAAATTTGACCAATCGTATTTGTTTTGATTTTATCCAAATTCGAACTACAGTGTAGAAGCTCTATAATAGGAACGAGCTTTAAAAGGGTGTAGATCACCCTAAAAAATATACTTGGGTGGACAACTTTGTGGTTTTTCATGATATAAATTTTATATATTAATATATAAAGAAACCGGTCAAAACAAAGCATTATTATTTATTATTAATAATATCATTTCGAACCACAGCATTATTTGTCACTTTGTCTGCCCGTATGATAAATTTTTTTTTTTTTTTGTATGAATTCATTCATTCATTCTGTTGATAATTTCTCGATAGAATGAGAAGTTACTATGTGCGGGGGGTTTTTTGAAAACTTTATCAAAATCATAAATCGCTATCCTTAAATAATAAGTCTCATAACTCTAAGTCTTTATGATTGTTTTTTTTTCTCTGTCTGACAGCTTATTCTTTAGTGGTGGAGAATAAGACTGTAGAAAGATATTTGCTCTAGTTGGCTTGGTTATACATTTTTAAAGTTCAACCATATTTTCTAATTTTTAGTTTAAAGCTTTGAATGCTGGGCATTTCAACATGAAAAAGTTGAAGAACATAGGTGTATATGTATATATCTAGTTATCAATCATCATATTGTTTTATGTTATTTCTCATGCCATTGGTACAAGAATCAGTCAGTTCTTCATAGGGTTCAAAATTGGCCAGCATTGTGTTGAGATTTTGGTAATTTTGATAACACTTCCACATAATGCTGGTCAATTTTGAACCTTAGGTTTATGC